TTTTAATGCTATTTTAGCTACATATCTGGCAATTAATGGAAAAAAACCATTTCGTTTTATCTTAAATCAAGGTCATTTTTCTTGTAAATATTTAATCATAAAAATTTATTATAATCGCAATGTCTTTAGGGATTTAAGATGATAAGTAATGAGCGTTATATTTTAGAAAGTGCAGCATACTCGGAATACCAATTTGTTATTTGAGAATAATTAGAAATTTGTAGAGATAGTTCAATAAAAAAAGCAACGTGAAATTAAGAAAAACTAATATGATTTTAATTATATTGAAAATTAAAAAAAAATAAAAACTAGAAACCTTAATAATATTACAACCGGAAAAAAAATTTGTGGTTTATATGATGCAAGCCATCATGCAAGCCATGTAATTAATTTTTTTAAACAATAAATAAATTAAAATGTGTCATAAAAAAGTTTTGAACATTTTTTATTGCGAATACCTTTTTTTTGTTTGACTAACAACAATGAAAAAAATGCATAATTTATTTAAGTAAACTAAAACATGTAACTAGCAACATTAGGCACAAACTCACTAACTTACAGTAAATATATTTCAATCTTTTAAAATAAATAAAAGTATATTATGAAATAATATACTTTTATTTATAAGTAAAACACTGCCTATAAATTTAAACATTCTTACGTAAAAAACATTTAAAAGGCGTTTAAAATACGGTTAAAAGACATTTAGAACGTAATCTTAAAAACAAATGCCAATAGGAAAAATGGTTGAGTAAAATCAATTTTATTATTAAAACAGCTGAAAAAATGAGAGAAAAATTTATTTAAAAAACTAGGCAAAAACGCATCTATTTATTGTTTACAGTTATTTTTGTACAAATTTATCATTAAATAAGAAAATTAAAAAGTCTTGAGGAAACTAAATAATATTATCTTTACCTGGACATCCTTTTCTTATTATAAAATTTCTTATTAGGCCCGGTTGTGCCAAACACCAAGGATCAGAAATGTACAACTGCACGTTAGTAAACTCTTTTGGGGCAATATTTATGACTCTTGAGAGAATCAATTCATCAACTTGCAGTGTAAAAATATAGTATCCATGATATAGTACCTGACTTAATTTGTATTGTTTGCATCCTAAATCAAATGTCTTAGTTGTTAAACTGTATAATGTATTGTTTATCATTGCTGATAACTGCATTTCACCCTTCGGAGTAAACCACATACATAAAACACATAAAGCATAACCAGCATTATTACTATTATTATAGTTGTAGCCGTAAATTTACATAGAATGTACACATACAGCGAGCAGGGGAAACACCCCACTATAAACAACCAGTTTTATAAATATTTGTTCCAAACTTTTTCCACAACCAGGAGTCTAGTCTATTTTTGAAAGAAGGTACAGTGGAGTACAAAGTTATTTGCTCTGGTAGATTGTTCCAGTATTTTGCTGATCTATTATACAAATGATTATATCTAGGAAGACAGTTTAGAACATACTCACGCCTTATTTTAGAATGGTGACCACGAGACACGGAGTTAATATATTTTGGTAGATATTTATCATTAACTATATCAAAACGATGTATTTATTTAAAAATTTGGATTAAATCGCATCGAAGGCGTCGAAACTCAAGAGACGGTAGGTTTAATCTTTTTAGCCTTTCGCAGTATTGAAGATGCCTCAAGCTGTAAGCCCATTTTGTAGCTTTGCGTTGAACAGATTCAACCAAAGCCATATCAGCTTTTAAAAAAGGAGCCCAAATGGACACTCCATAATCAAGATGTGGTCTTATAAATACTTTATATAATTTGAGAGCCATTTTTTCATCAATGAAAGTGAATGTCTTTTTCAGCATACTGAGAATTTGTAAGGACTTAGAGACAACTGCTTGAATATGAGCGCTCCACTTGAGGTTAGATGTAAAAATGACTCCTAAATCACGTTCTTTAGTAGAGCTTCTTAGAGATTGGTTAATTCCTTGGTTATTTTGAAGAAAGTAATTGTAATGGGGGTTGTTTCGACCGTAATGAATGACGCAGCATTTTGAAGTGTTTAGCTTAAGTAACTAAGTGTTTGACCACTGGTATACCAAGCGTTGACGATCCTGCAGATCAACAAAATTAGATTGCGATAAGGTTTTAGAAAAAAGTTTAGTATCATCGGCAAATATCTCAGAAGTTTCAGTGAGTTTTGCGAGATCATTTGTGTAGAGAATGAAGAGGAGCGGGCCGAGAACAGAACCTTGAGGAACACCACTGAGAACATCAACCCATGCAGAGCTGGTATTGTTAATTGTAACGCGTTGCTTTCTGCCCACTAAAAAAGATTTAATCCATTGTAGGAGTTTGCCGTTTATTCCGAAAGATCTTAATTTTAACAAAAGTCTGTTGTGAGGTACAGAGTCAAACGCTTTGGCAAAGTCAAGATAGATTACATCAATAAATTGGTGAGATGCTATGGAGGACGAAATGATATCAAAAGTTTCTATTAGGTTAGTTACGCATGATTTATGATAAAGAAAGCCATGTTGATTTGCAGAGAGCATTTTATTATTGTTAATGTGCTTTAAAATTTATTTCTTTACAAGTTTTTCAAAGATTTTACAGGCAACAGATGTTAGTGAAATAGGTCTATAGTTTTCAGCAAGTAATTTATCTCCCTTTTTTTTATAGATCGGACTAATATTTGCTAATTTCCATTGAGTGGGTACTACTCCAGAATTAAAGGATTTATGAAAGATTTTTGTTAATGGAATTGCAAAGCTTTTGGCACATATCTTGAGTATTAAGGGATGCAAGCCGTCAGATCCGAAGGATTTATAAGGCTTTAGATCGGCAAGTTCCTGAATAATATCTGAGATGGAGAAATCCAAGTTTTCATTATAAATGCATTCAGAAAGAATACCACTTTTATTTAGCAAAGGAAAATTTTCAGAGCTTTCAAGTGTAAACATAGATTTAAATTGAGAGTTCAGAAGATCAACTATATCAGAAAGAGCTTCAATAATTCTGCCTGAAGTATCTTTGAGAGAGCGAATTCTATCTTTAATTTTTAGTTGTTTGTTGATATATTTGTAAACGATTTTTGGGTTGTTTTGGGATTTTGATATTATTTCTTTTTCATGTGCTTTTTTTGCTTTAAATATTTCAGTTTTTACTGAACGATTAAGGCGATTGTATTTTATTTTAAGCTCACTATTCTCCCATTTGGTAGAGCAGTTTATATGCCAAGCGGATTTTTTTTTCTCGGATCAGGTTTTTAATATGTGGGGTAACCCAAGGATCATACTTTTTTTTTGTTTTATTAATCTTGGGAATAAAATATGTGCAAGCAGTGCGATAGTTAGAAATTAGTATATTGAACATTTGATCTGCAGTTTTATGCAGGAATAAAAACTCCCAGTCGATTGATGCAATAAAGTTAGATATTGAATCGTAATCACCTTTTTTGTAATTAAACGATTGAGATTCACTTTCGGTAAACAGTTCTGAAACTAAGAATCTCCAAGTGATACTAAAATGACCCTTAGCGGTGTTACCTAGTATAGTACTAGGAGACAAGTTTAAAATAGAATTACTGTTGTAGGTAAATAACAAGTCCAACATATTATTTGAGGAACCATAATCAGTCTGGAAAGTAGGAAATGTGATATGTTGAGTAAAAAGACTGTTTTGGAAAATATTCCAGAAATCATACTCGGTAGGATTGTTTGAGTTAAAAGATTCAATACCATCGTTAGACCACTTTATATTCGGGAAGTTAAAGTCACCGACAATCAAACAGTCATCATAGGGCTTTTTAATTAAACTATGAGCTAATTTGAAGGATTCAGCGACATATTTTATTAAACTGGCATCATTTGGTCTGTATATACAACCGATAAGTATATGTTTGTTGTTAAATTTTACAGATACCCAGACTTGTTCGAGAAGATTTGTTTAAAATTGGTTAACTTCATGAGAGTTAAATACGTCTGTAATGTAGATAGCTACACCGCCACCTCGACGTCCGTCTTGACGATCTTTACGATATAGGCTATACCCATCGATATTAGGTACTGAGTCATTTCGAAACCATGTTTCAGAGATGGCAATAACGTGATAATCAAACGTTCTAGATATTGAAATTAAATCGGCCATTTTATTATCGAGAGATGTAGCATTAGTATAATAACAATTAACGCTATAGTTTGTTTTTTTGTTATGAAGATTTTTACTTTTGTATTTTAAGTTTGCTGGTAAAAGAGTGGAAGAAGGGTAGTAATGTTTATGTAGTGGTTTGTATATTTTTGAGTTTGACGACTCCGCTGCTTCGTATACCGTATCTAAAGGGCGATGTTTTTAAATTGATATTACTATTTAATTCATTACGCTTCATTCTTAACTGATAGTTTAAATATCTTTCAGCCTCAGTCAAATCTGGGCTTATAAAAATATTTTTATAATTATCAGAATTTTTCAATTTTTTTGCTGCTGTTAATAATGGGTTTCTTTCGTAGACATCAGAAAGTTCGACGATAATTGGTCCTGGTTTAGAGGACGTAGATTTAATACGTTTGACAGATTTTGGTTTTGCATCAGATGAAATAGTAACTAAGATATTCTGAACCGTTTCCGTATCGTCGATATGCTTATCAGCAACTGATAACTTTGCAGATTCTTTAATGCCATAAATAATAACATTTTTTTCACGCTTCTTTTTTTGCTGTTGCTCAATGGCAAATGTGTTGATAATTTTTAGTTGTTCAATAGGCTGCTTTTTTTTTATGTTTTTGCTTGTAACTGTAACCCAGCTGGATTCGATACTACTGGTTGTGGTATTAGTTAGCTCATTAGGATTTTGGATTAGCTTATCTATTATTAATTGTTGTTGCTTTATTACTTGTTCTAGTTCAGATATTTTGGCCGACCATTTCGCAGTTTCAGCATGAATAAGTTTTTTAATAGCGTCCTCGACTTGCTTTAATTGAGCTGGTGTTAAATTAGTCATCACAGATGATGAACAGATTAGTTAAATAAAATACGTTGGACAACTTAAACCAAGCATTTCCAGCAGTAAATGAAGTTAAACAGGTTTCAAATGTCATTTCATACTCTTAAGGAAAAAAATGGCAATTGTTTGAAAAAGACTGTTTTGAACTATGAAAAATTCTTCTTTTAAGGAAAATAAATCTAAAAATAATTTAAATGAAAAATGTTTGTATAACTAACTTAAAATTGCGTATTCAAAAGTAGTAGTTAAAAAAGTCTTCTGGTTTAAAAGTATTTTTACATAAAAGAGTTTGCTTAAACAAAGACTCAATTTAATTTAATATAAATTTAATACGAATTTTCTATCGAAAAGTTTCAATTAAGAATGTTAACATTTAATACTTAATGAGATGAAAGCTTAATGTATATAATTATAATGTATATAATTTAACCGGGATTTAATTGTTTTAGGATGATCGATATGAATGAATGCCATATTTCATACTTACAGTATATCATTTGTGATTTTATTTATAATAGTTGCATTCTGTGCATTTGGCTTTTTTTATAAATGTAGAAATTATCTAAAAATTTGGCTGATCATTGGCAGCTCATTCTTTCGTAAAACATCAAGAAAACTAAATATGTAGTAATTCATTTCTCTTTAAACTTTGAATGCCTAATATTTCAGGTTAATTTAAAATGTTAGTTTTTGTTGGAGTTATATTCATTTTTATTTACTTATATATATTTTTTTTATATTGTAAATTATGATGGGCTCACGAGAAAAAAATAAATTTGTAACTTTAAAAAAATGATATAACTTAATCAAACATGGTTTTAATATTTAAATGCTATAGTAAGATTCCGATACTATAGTAAAATATACAAGTTCCTGTAGAACATTTTTTTTACTTTTTTTTCTATACAAAAAAAAGTACTTAAGAAATTTTCTATAGAAATTAATAGCAACTTTTTCAGAAATTCTATAGAAAGTCTATAGAATTTCTATAGGTCATATGCTACAAAAGTTTATAGAAATTCTATATAACAGTTTTTTGGGTAAAGCTGTAATTCACTTAAACTTGATGTTTAAAGATTATGGTATAAGTTAACGCATAATAATATCATTAATAATAATAAAAATAGTAATAATAATGATAATAATATAACAGTAACAATATTAATCATAGAAATAATTAAAATTATATATATATATATATGTATGTATATATATATATATATATATATATATATATATATATAAATATATATATATATATATATATATATATATATATATATATATATATATATATATATATATATATATATATATATATATATATATATATATATATATATATATATATATATATATATATATATATATATATATATATATATATATATATATATATATATATATATATATATATATATATATATATATATATATATATATATAAATATATGTGTATGTGTGTATACAAAAAATGTTGAACAAAAAAATAAAAAGAATAATAAAAAATATATAAAAAAAACAAAAAACAGTTGCAGCCAAATCCAAACAGTAAAGTAAATATGTAACGTGTAACTACTGTGAGTACCATTTCAACAACTAAAGTTCAATTTATTTTATTTTTTTACTTTAAAAGAAGCATTTGAAATAAAGTATGAAAACCAATAAAGAGTACTATTATGTCGATTTTTAAACCATTTAAAGTAGTTTAAATAATAATTAAATTAAATTTTGAGTGTTTCTCTAACTTCTCTAATGTTAAACTTTTTCGGAAGTTAATTATGAAATATTTTCAATAAAAATTTAATGTAATAAATTTGGAATTTTCGACTAAAATTTTATTTTAGTAAAATAAAATTTTAGGCAATTCCAGATTTGTAAAGAATAAATTGTCCACAGTAATGCATATTAGTCTGTAACATTTGTAAAATACATATTTATTTACCTGAACATCTATTTGTTATAATAAAGTTGTTTGTGTATCCTGGCTGTGCTACCGTCCATGGGTCGGAAATGTAGATTTGCACATTCTTAAACACTTGAGGAGCAATATTTTTGACTGTTGATAGAGTCCACCCATCAACTTGTACAGTAAACATATAGTTTCCTTGGTATAGTATCTGTCTAATTTTATATTGTTTGCATCCTGTTTTAAATGGTTTTGTTGTAAAACTGTAAGTTGTACCATTTATTAATGCTGCTAATTCCATTTCTCCATTTGGAGAAAACCACATACATGCAACACAAAAATCATAACCACTATTAGTGAAATAAAAAACGTTGGAAGATGCAGACCAATAATTTCCAGATGTAAATGAGGATAAGCAGGCTTCAAAAGCTATTTCATACTCTATAGGAAAAATGGCTAATGTTTGGAGAAGGTTGTTATGAGTTATGTCACTCTTTTCTACCAATGTAAACAACTCTAAGAACAATAAAAATCAAATATATGCAGGGGTGTATATGCATAACATGTTTGAAAAAGTATATCATAGTTACCTGAACACCCTTTTGATACTAAAAGGTTTTTTGTATAGCCTGGCTGTGCAGTGTGCCATGGGTCGGACAAATACAATTTAACATTCTTGAATTCTTTTGCGTCAGTATTTTCCATTGTTAAAACAATTATGCCAGATATTTTCATAGTAAAGTTATAGTATTGATCTAAAACTTGACTTATTGAATAATGGTTGCAACCTAACTTAAAATCACTAAAATACTTTTTATAAAGATCGTTATTAATAAATACGCTGAAACCCAAAACTCTTTTTGAATTTAGCCACATACTTATAACTCTGTAACTATCACCATTCGAATTTCCTGTATTTAAGTTAAAAACGTTTGACCATGGAGAATAAGAATTACCATCAGAAAACGAAGTGAAACAAGCTTTAAATGTTATTTCGTATTCTTTAGGAAAGACACTGAATGTGTGAACAAGGTTGTTTAGATATAGATCACTTTGTTCTTTTAAAGCATACAAATCTATGAAATGTTGAAAGCAGAAATGTATTACAAACATTACCGAAACTAATTTTTGAGAAATTTTCTTTCTTTTTAAACACATTTTTAAAACAGGTGGAGGTGGTGAAAAGGTAGATAGAAGCAGGGGTAACTATATTATATCATTATATTACTAAATGTACAAATTCTAAATAATTAACAAATAAGTAAGTATTTTTAAAATTGTTTGCAAAGTGATTGCCACATAAATGATAAAGTATGTCTTTTTATGTGAAGAGAAAATACTTTACTTTTTTTTTTTTTAAACTTCAAATCATAACAAAATAAAAAAAGAAAAGTTTTATAGTTAGAACATTTAAAATAATTATACTTTATTTGTTTGCCAAATATTTTTAACTTTTTTTATTTATATTTTTTAAAGTTATTTTCTAAATATTTCAAAACTTTGAGCTTATTGGGTTTATATTTTTATTTTAAATAAATAATTTTATATTTTGCTTTTTATTTCATACCTAATAAGATCTTATTTTGTGCACTTATGTGTTTACATATATTATTGCATAAAGTAAACTATATATATATATATATATATATATATATATATATATATACGTCTGTGTTTGTGTTTGTGTGTGTGTGTGTGTGTATGTGAGTGTGTGTGTGTGTGTGTGTGTGTGTGTATGTACAACAACTTGTAAACAAGAACTTGGCTACGAGGATAGCTAAATATATTACGTAGCAATTATTTAGATATAACTCAAAACTAAAAAAAATCGTGATATGACAAAAAAAAAAAAAAATGCAGTCTAAAACTTTTAAGCAAAATTTTGATACAAAAAGTATATAAACTGAACCATGTGAGTTTATTTGTATTTAAAAGTCTAATATTAACAGTGCATAATATCAACATTATTACTTCATCAATAATGATTTTGGGTGATAAACTCTAAAAAAATAAGATGTGACACTATTCCAATTGATTTTTTTATTTCTTATATATTGAAATACATTTAAAAATATGCTTTTATTTAGTATTTTAATTTTTTATACTTTTCAGAAAAATTTAAGTGGTTTTAGACCAAAAACATGAAAAATTATTGACAGAGACATCTCAAAAAAGGAAAATATACTTTAAAAAATATTTCTATGCAAATTATTACTTTTAAAGAGATAAAGAGATAAATGGTTTATTCGTATTTATTTGCAAACGGTTAGAGACAAGAGTAGGATTAAAAAAAGACAAAGTGCTACAAGGAAAGCTTCATTTACAAGTTATTTTGATAAGTTTGTAGGCAAAAACTCAGTCACAAACAAAACGTAACATTTAAAAATTTGCTATTCTTTTTAAATCAACTTATTTGGTTTGAATATATTAAAAAATAAATACAAAAATTTTTAAATACTCTTTAAAAACGGTTTTTCATTGAAAGACTTACCAATAAAATAAACATTTTATTTTGATTTTCATGATGCTGCATATTTATGTAATAATACCTAGAATAATGCTCACATAATGCTCATTATTACCAAAATCTTTATGAGATTTTAAGTAAATTAGAAATTGCAATTCCTGGAATCTTTGCCTAATATTGAAAAACTATAAAGCAGAGAAAAATAAATATAAAAGTTCACATATTGAATATAAAAAATTATTTGTTACTATTTCTCTTATCAGTTATTACAGTTGTAGCCTTAAATTTCATATAATGTATCCATATAGCAATCATTTAAAACACCCGACAATAAACAGCCTGTTTTATAAACACTTGTTCCAAAATTTATCGATAACGAAGAGTTGAGTCTGCTTTTGAGAGAAAATAGAATTGATTTGAAAGGTATTTGTTCCAATCTTTTGCTGATTTATTATACAAATGATTTTAAACTTTTTTATACAATCATATTATACAAATGATTGTAAAACAAAAAAACAAAAACAAAAAACAAATTAAGAAATACCAGCAGCTAAAAACTTTTTTTTTTACAATGCTGTTTTTTTTTTATCATTAAATTTATTACAAAACATTATAGATTTTGTTTATATTAAGATTAAATTAAATATTACTAATAAAGTTAACAAATTAATAAACATATATTTTGGATAAATGTTTTCTCTGGTTTATGAATTATTAAAAATCTTTTAATCATAACGCCTACTGCATGTTCTTTATGCATCTTTTCTTGTGCAATATTATCTTCTACATTCGTTTACTGCTCGTCTAATTTCGTCACCTCCCCAGCTAATACAAACGTTCAGAATGTTCAACGAACGTTGCGAACTTTTAAATGCATTCATAAAACGTTCTCTAACGTTCGCAACGTTTGTTGAATGTCTTGTGTTAGCTTGGTGATTTGTAACCTTACGAAACTAGAGTAAAATAGTTAGGATTTTAAATGTGCATTCATAAATCAAAAATGGAATTACACAGAACAATTTTACATAAAGAGGGTTTTTTGAATGGAATTATTCTAAAGTTTCCTGCACAACCTATGTTTATTTTTGACATTAAAAAATTATTAACGTTGCGACGAAAAAATTCAGTGATTTTAGAAGCTCACCTTTTATTTAGCAAATTTAACTAAATTTAGCTAGAATGCATCTAAAGTTAGAAAATAAATAATTCGGTAAAAACCTCTTGATTATAGCAAAGACGAATACCTAATACTAGACAATTATACAGCGTTTACAAAATGAATTTTATTGTTTATAAAATTTACGAAAAAAGTTTTTGCAGCAGAAATTTTGTAACGAGAGGCCAGCAACTTTTTTTACATGTGTCAATGTGACCATCAATAGTTTCTAAAAAATTAAATCTTATCTTTAAAATAGAGATAAGAAGGTATACAAATTGTTTGCTTATTATATTTGATTAAAGTAACAAATAATAATGTTTATGAGAATTCAAGAATTCAGTACATATTACATTGAAATATTCAAACGGTGTTATTTGTTATGTTGGTGGCAAGAATAAACATTTTGTTAAAACTATTTCAACATCTATATTTTTGTGGTGCTATGCGTTTTTGAAGGCCTGTTTTCTAATACATGACATGAATTTTTTTTATTTCCTTTTATGTAAATTTTTAATTTCTTCCTAAAAGATTAAATTTAAAAAATATTTGATAAAAACTGTCACTATAAATTTTTCATAAAAAAAAGCTTGATCGTTTAATTTTTTTTAATTATTAAAGCATAAACAAGTGTAGTACAAAAGCATTTTTTCTCTACATCCCCATTATATGAAAACGTTTTATATATGTTTTAAACGTTATCCCAGTAATTACACAAACGTATATTAACGTCAAAACAACGTTTCAACAAAACCTTCAGATTTGTTGAAACGAAACTTCAATCATCCGTTTAAAATGAAAACCATATTACCGTTTAGAATAAACGTTCATACAACATCTATATTCAAACGTAGTTTAGACTTCTAATATAAAATTATTTTAAGATTATTAGGCGTTTAGATTTTGTCTAATTTACGTTTAAATCTAGTCTTTTTAACGTATATAAAGCGTATAGATTTAGTCTAAGTAAACGTATATTAAACCTTTAAATCTTGTCATATAATTTCATTGATTTACTTTTTTTTTTTTTTTTTTTTTTTTTAGTGTTATTTATTTCGCCGTTAAAAAATGTTTACATTGCATATACATTTATATAAATTGATGGCTGGAGCAAGAAGAAGGCACATTTCGCCTTATCGCCGAGCCCCATTAAAAATTCCACATAACCGTAACATACAAATATATATATATATATATAAAAGAAACAATTAGAAATGAAATAGAAAATAACTAATATAATAAAAAAAATAAAAAATAAGAATTAATTAAGAAGCGTTAAGATGCTTAACAGTTGCTAAAATGTTTAAGAAATAAGTTAATATAAAAAAAAAAAAAAAAAAAATCCTGAATATAAAAAAAATTGAAAAAATAAAATCTCATAACTAACACTAAATGAATATGTAACATCATCACTTATGACATCATCACTTGTGACATCATCATTTGGATTTCTTATTCTTTTTTTTTTTTTTTTCTTTTTTTCCTTTTTCTTTCTTTTCTTATTCATATTATCATATATCATTGATATAATTGAATCTGTTTTTTTTTTATTTTTTTTTATTGTGTTTACTTTAAAATAAACATTTAAAGTCGGATTTATTGAGATCCATGAACAATAATAATCGTTTTGATTCTTCCTTAAATTGCTCTAATGTAGTCTGCTTTTTGTTAACAATATCTGGAAATTTCTTCCACAGATAAGGTCCGCGGTATTTAATTGAATAAGAAGTTAATTTTAATTTATGTTTTGGAACAACAAAATTGTTTTCTGAAAACTTTGTTGAGTGCCTATGGTTAATTTTATTAAAATAAGATTGAATTATTTTAGGAGACAATTCCTTTTTTGTTTTAAACATAAACAATAAAACTTGGTGTAAATTGAGTTTATATACATTTAAAGCACCGAGCACACTTAGAAGTGGTTCGCAAGGAACATTTCTGTCGGCTCCAAATACTATTCTACATGCATGTTTTTGTTTATTGTAGAATTTCTTTAGTTTTGTATGGCTAGTACTAGCCCACACAACATTACACTAAGACAAATAACTGTGAATAAACGCGAAATATAATTTTTTCAGAGATGATATATTTAGAAAGGGTTTAGCCCTAAACATCATTGCAATATTTTTTGAGATTATTTTTTCAATGCAATTGATATGTGAACACCATTTTAAATTTTCATCCAATTTTACTCCTAAAAAGTTTATGTAAGCTTCCCTTTTAATATAAGTTTTATTAATATTAAGATCTGGTAATTTAAGAGGAATATTTTCTGATTTATTTACTTTATGGAAAAGCATATATTTTGTTTTTTCCGCATTTAGTGAAAGTTTATTACTTACGAACCATGCACTAACATTACATAACTGTTCGTTAACTATTTTAAAAAGTGATTTAATATCTCTGTGAGAACAAAAAAGATTTGAATCATCAGCAAACAAAATTAGGTCTAA